CCTGTGCGTCCGGAGCCTGTGCTCCACAATGGGAGAGGCCACAACAGTGAGAGGCCCGCGTCCCGCAAAAAAAAAAAAAAAAAAAAAAGTGTCCTCTGGTGGCGCTTATGCTCGCCTGGCCCCTGTGCCTGGACTGGGACTGCTGGTTACAGTGTATGATGCCTTTCAGTTTGGAGCACTAATTTTGGAGAAAGCAGCAACATTTGCATCTTAACTTCAGGGAAAGATGAGGCATGGCTGTAAAGTAATGAAAGAGATTTTCATTTGTAGCATTTGGAAAAGCAGTGTCACTACTTTTCCAGGGTGTCATTTTAATCCCTCTTTGGCTACTCCCTTTGCAGTTCTTGGGCTTGGGCAAGTCATTTAATATCACTGTTTTGTTTCTCTCTGGATTAATGATACAGTTTAGCCGCTCTCACTGAGATTTTTGTGTTTCATTCTTACTTGTTATTCAAGTACTCCCTGGCTGGCTTTCAGTTATGGTTGGCATGGGCTGTATTTTATTTTACTGGCTTAGAAGTCTTAAGAGGAGCTTCACTATTTAGAAATCAAACACGTTGTTTTCTTTTCAAGTAATGCTTTCCAAAAAAAAATGTGCTTTACTACTCTGTTTATCTAAACTTTACCCACTTCCATCAGTGTTTATGTGCAGATAATTATACTCTGTTAGCCCAGATAGAAGGTGATGACTGAACACAAGGTATTCTATCAGATTCTCACACCACAGACACGGGAACTCAGAGGTTCTTGGTAATCCTTTCCAGCTTTTCTTTGTTGATTGCGTGACTGGTCTTTTTTCACCTTATATGTAGGCTTTTCTCCATAGACAAAGTAGTTTTCTGTATTCCTCTTCCACTTCAAATCCTAACCCTCTACTTTATATACTCAGAGCATAGTGTCTGCAGGATCTACGATGCCCACTTCACCTCTAGGAGGGTAGAGAAAAAGCTCTTCAGTGTTGGGATGAGGTATCTTCCCCCCACCCAGGCATTTTCAAGCTTCACTCCTGCCCATCTCAGGTGAAATGAGTGACTGATTCAGGTTTTATCCTGATGTCCCGTCTGGGCTCATTATGAAACACTGGTTCTCCCTTTAGTTATCACTAAATGAATAAAGAGCTTGTCACCTTTTCTTGTTCATCAAAATATAGTTGTTGTACAGTATTATGTTAATTTCAGGTATACTACATAGTGATCAGACATTTGCACACATTATGAAATGATCACCACTATGAACGTAGTAACCATCTGTTTCCATACAAAGTTATTATAGTGTTATTGACCGTATTCCTCATGCTGTATAGCAGCGGTCCCCAACCTTTTTGGAACCAGGGACCAGTTTCGTGGAAGACAGTTTTTCCACGGACCGGGGTAGGGGGCGGTTTTGGGATGATTGAAGTGCATGACATTTATTGTGCACTTTATCGTTATTACCTTGGAATATATAATGAAATAATTATACAACTCACCATAATGCAGAATCAGCGGGAGCCCTGAGCTTGTTTTCAGTTGCCACTCACTGGTAGGGTTTTGATATGAGTCTGCAAGCAATTGATTTATTATGGTCTCTGTGCAGTCAGACTTCTCTGCTAATGATAATCTGTGTTTGCAGCTGCTCCCCAGTGCTAGCATCACTGCCTCAGCTCTACCTCAGGTCATCAGGCATTAGATTCTTTTTTTTGAATTTTATTTATTTTTTTATACAGCAGGTCCTTATTAGTTATCCGTTGTATACATATCAGTGTATACATGTCAGTCCCAATCTCCCAGTTCATCACACCACCTCCCCCCCTGCCACTTTCCCCCGTTGGTGTCCATACGTTTGTTCTCTACATCTGTGTCTCAATTTCTGCCCTGCAAACCGGTTCATCTGTACCATTTTTCTAGGTTCCACATATATGCATTAATATACGATATTTGTTTTTCTCTTTCTGACTGACTTCACTCTGTATGACAGTCTCTAGATCCCTCCACGTCTCTACAAATGACCCAATTTCGTTCCTTTTTATGGCTGCGTAGTATTCCATTGTATATATGTGCCACATCTTCTTTATCCATTCGTCTGTTGATGGGCATTTAGGTTGCTTCCATGACCTGGCTATTGTAAATAGTGCTGCAGTGAACATTGGGGTACATGTGTCCTTTTGAATTATGGTTTTCTCTGGGTATATGCCCGGTAGTGGGATTGCTGGGCCATATGGTAATTCTATTTTTAGTTTTTTAAGGAACCTCCATACTGTTCTCCATAGTGGCTGTATCAATTCACATCCCCACCAACAGTGCAAGAGTGTTCCCTTTTCTCCACACCCTCTCCAGCATTTGTTGTTTGTAGATTTTGACGATGCCCATTCTAACTGGTGTGAGGTGATCCCTCATTGTAGTTTCGATTTGCATTTCTCTAATAATTGGTGATGTTGAGCACCTTTCCATGTGCTTCTTGGCCATCTGTATGTCTTCTTTGGAGAAATGTCTATTTAGGTCTTCTGCCCATTTTTGGATTGGGTTGTTTGTTTTTTTAATACTGAGCTGCATGAGCTGTTTATGTATTTTGGAGATTAATCCTTTGTTCATTGATTTGTTGGCAGATATTTTCTCCCATTCTGAGCGTTGTCTTTTCTTCTTGTTTCTGGTTTCCTTTGCTGTGCAAAAGCTTTTAAGTTTCATTAGGTCCCATTTGTTTGTTGTTGTTTTTATTTCCATTACTCTCGGAGGTGGATCAAGAAAGATCTTGCTGTGATTTATGTCAGAGTGTTCTTCCTATGTTTTCCTCTAAGAGTTTTATAGTGTCCAGTCTTACATTTAGGTCTCTATAAACTCCATTTTGAGTTTATTTTTTTGTATGGTGTTAGGAAGTGTTCTAATTTCATTCTTTTACATGTAGCTGTCCAGTTTTCCCAGCACCACTTATTGAAGAGACTGTCTTTTCTCCATTGTATATCCTTGCCTTCTTTGTCATAGATTAGTTGACCATAGGTGCGTGGGTTTATTTCTGGGCTTTCTGTCCTGTTCCATTGATCTATATTTCTGTTTTTGTGCCAGTACCGTACTGTCTTGATTACTGTAGCTTTGTAGTATAGTCTGAAGTCAGGGAGTCTGATTCCTCCAGCTCCGTTTTTTCCCCTCAAGACTGCTTTGGCTATTTGGGGTCTTTTGTCTCCATACAAATTTTAAGATTTTTTTGTTCTAGATCTGTAAAAAATGCCATTGGTAATTTGATAGGGATTGCATTGAATCTGTAGATTGCTTTGGGTAGTATAGTCATTTTCACAATGTTGATTCTTCCAATCCAAGAACATGGTATATCTCCCCATCTGTTGGTATCATCTTTAATTTCTTTCATCAGTGTCTTACAGTTTTCTGCATACAGGTCTTTTGTCTCGTTAGGTAGGTTTATTCCTAGGTATTTTATTCTTTTTGTTGCAGTGGTAAATGGGAGTGTTTCCTTAATTTCTCTTTCAGATTTTTCATCATTAGTGTATAGGAATGCAAGAGATTTCTGTGCATTAATTTTGTATCCTTCAACTTTACCAAATTCATTGATTAGCTCTAGTAGTTTTCTGGTGGAATCTTTAGGATTCTCTATGTATAGTATCATGTCATCTGCAAACAGTGACAGTTTTAATTCTTCTTTTCCAATTTGTATTCCTTTTATTTCTTTTTCTTCTCTGACTGCCGTGGCTAGGACTTCCAAAACTATGTTGAATAATAGTGGTGAAAGTGGATATCCTTGTCTTAGAGTTCCTGATCTTAGAGGAAATGCTTTCAGTTTTTCACCATTGAGAATGATGTTTGCTGTGGGTTTGTCGTATATGGCCTTTATTATGTTGAGGTAGGTTCCCTCTATGCCCACTTTCTGGAGAGTTTTTAATCATAAATGGGTGTTGAATTTTGTCAGAAGCTTTTTCTGCATCTATTGAGATGATCATATGGTTTTGATTCTTCAATTTTTTAATATGGTTTATCACATTGATTGATTTATGTATATTGAAGCATCCTTGCCTCCCTGGGATAAATCCCACTTGATCATGGTGTATGATCCTTTTAATGTGTTGTTGGATTCTCTTTGCTAGTATTGTGTTGAGGATTTTTGCATCTATATTCATCAGTGATATTGGTCTGTAATTTTCTTTTTTTGTAGTATCTTTGTCTGGTTTTGGTATCAGGGTGATGGTGGCCTCATAGAATGAGTTTGGGAGTGTTCCTTCCCTTGCAATTTTTTGGAAGAGTTTGAGAAGGATGGGTGTTAGCTCTTCTCTAAATGTTTGATAGAATTGGCCTGTGAAGCCATCTGGTCCTGGGCTTTGGCTTGTTGGAAGATTTTTAATCACAGTTTCAATTTCATTCCTTGTGATTGGTCTGTTCATATTTTCTGTTTCTTCCTGGTCCAGTCTTGGAAGGTTATGCCTTTCTAAAAATTTGTCCGTTTGTTCCAGGTTGTCCATTTTAGATTCTCACAAGGAGTGCGCAACCTAGATCCCTCGTGTGCACAGTTCACAGTAGGGTTCACGCTCCTGTGAGAATCTAGTGTCACAGCTGATGTGACAGGAGGTGGAGCTCGAGCGATGGGGAGCGGCTGTAAATGCAGTTGAAGCTTCACTCGCTCACCCACCGCTCACCTCCTGCTGTGCGGCCCGGTTCCTAACAGGCCGTGGACTGGTACCGGTCTGTGGCCCGGGGGGTTGGAGACCCCTGCTGTATCGTATATCCCCATGGCTTGTTTATTTTATAGCTGGAGGTTTGTACCACTTTACCCCCTTCACCTGTGTTTGCCCCAGCCCCCACCCCTCTGTTCTTTGTACCTGTGTGTTTCCCTTCTGCTTTGTCATCTTTTTTTTTTTTTTTATTGCTTTCCCAGGTATAATGTTTAAGCTATTTCTGAGTCTCATGAGATTTTTCTTTATTAATAGATTACTTAGTTAACTCATGTTAGATTGGGGACTTTCTAAATGTATATTTTGGGAGAATAGTGGCCTTTTGTAGCTGACGCGTGACACTCACGTTATACTAACTTGCTTCATGTGGACCCACGTGAAATTTTTGTCACTGGAAGTTATAAATTAATTGGTTGATAACGTAGGTGGGTACATGTTAGCACTTATATTTGGGTGTGAGCTGTGTCAACATTAAGTTAGTGATTTGTTTGTGAAAGTGACCTTTTTTCTTTTTCCATAGAGAAATAAGTCATACTGTGCCAGATATATCTATCCATGGCAATCTCTCCTCAGTCCACTGCTCTCTGGATTTGTACAAATACAGGCTGATCCGGGGTTTGTTGGAGAACAACCTTGGAGAGCCCATAGAGGAATTCCTGCGGCCTTATGATTTACAGGACCCAAGCATTCACGTGAGTGTGCCGTTAGGTTCCTCCGTAGCTCTCGTGGTCTCAGCTGATGGTCATCCTGGGTGTCTTTTCCTCGAAGTCACCTGGGGAAAGAAGATGGAACCACGAGTAAATTAGGCTTCATGACGTCGACCCCATTTTTAGATTGGCATCGACTATGAATTGATCAGCATTTTCCTTTTCCAGACTGTTCTGAGCGGAGAAGTGTACACGTGCATGTGCTTCCTCATTGATATGGTAAATGTAAGTCTGGAGCTGAAAGATCCAAAAGGAAAAGAAGGTGCTGGGTCCTTAGCCAGGTATGGCTTTAATTATACTGTTTTACTGTTAGTAATGGTAATACAAATAACGCACACATTGTGCTCTGACGTAGAACAGAGGTCGCAGAGTAGTGGTTCACAGCTAAATGTGGTCTGCCCGCAAGGTGCTTTTTGTTGGTCTGCGCAGTGCTTTTTAAAAGTTTAAATTCATCGGTCTCTATCAGTCAAGATAGCTGAGGTTAGGCTGTAGTAACAAGGCACTCCAAAATACCAGTGACTTAGAACAGTGAGGATGTTTTTTCTCCTCGTGTTTCCTGTCTGTTATGGGTCTTGGGCTGCTCTGTTCACCCTAGTTACTCTGACTGCCAGCAGCTTGCTGTGCCAGCAAGAAAAGCAATAGCCCTGGAGTGGTCTTGAATGGCAGTGGAATCCCTGGTAGACCCCGTGGGGCTAGAACGTGGCCCCACAGGAGCGCAAAGGAGTCGGGAAGTGGTTTTGCTGTGTGTCTGCGTGGGGGAGCCCCAGAGCTATATCTGGGGCAGCAGTGACGACTGCCTAACTGGCCAACATTTGAAAACTGGGGAATTGCACGTAAAAAGTCTGGATTTCAGCTTTTGAAAAATTAGAAGCTTTGGCAGTACTGGGCCCGTGTTCTCAATTGGAAGCATCTGGAAACTGAGTAACAACTTGGGCAGCCTTTAGATAAGGCATATGCTTACCCAGCAGTTCACTAATTTATGTCATTTTCTTGGTTAGTGTAGGCCAGGAATTTGCGATTACTGGTATAAAACCCTCAAGAGTGCATTGTATTTTCACACTTGATAATCTTTTCATTTTCATCTCTTGACAGCCATGTAAAGTTGAGCAGATATTACTCCTGTTTTCCAGATAGAGTTTTTGACTAGTGTAAGATCAATCATATGGCTGGAAAAGTGGTTCAGTATTTGGAAACAGGACTTCAAGTCTCGTAATTTTTCCATGGAAGCACTCTATCTTCTATTTTGTATTTCCCTTAAAAATTCATTCAGGCCCGTATCTAATTCGGCTGATCAGAACATGGTATGGTGGGTGGAGCTGGGGTCCCAGATTGATTATCTTGTGAGCCAGCAGTTTTTTCTAATGACTGGTTATGCCCTTAGCTTTCTTTCCAATATGGAGTAATTCTGTATGGATTGCCCATTGCAGCTTTCTCTGTTATTAAAACAGTGGCAGTTCCAGATGCATTTTCTGTTGATGCATCAGCTGCATTATTTCTCTGTATGAAAAGTATTATTTGTTGTGGCAGTTCCCAGTAAACTTCAGTGGTCTTATGTAAAAATTCAGCCGATTCTGGAGAGAGAATCTTCCACGCAGGCTAGGAGTTGGCAGATGAAGGACTAAAGGGACCCTTATTATCCCTTGGGGATTATTACAAATATATAGTCTTACTAAACTTAGGTGAGAAATGAGAACACTAGTGAACCAAGTATATAATAAATAAGTGGTATTGTTATTCCTCACGAAGTTCCTACGGACAAGAGCATCTCCTTGGAAATGGAAAGTGAGATACAAGGCAAAGTGACACTAAATCCATTTTGTGGACACTGTTAAAATCTGTGACAGATCTGAGTGAAAGTTATTCTTCATAGAACTTAGGCATATTTATGATTTTGTTCTTTTATCTTAAATGTACATAATTTTGTAAAATGGAAGCGTTCAACATCTTGTCTGCTTTCTCCCTTAGATTTGACTTCAAGAAATGTAAACTGCTCTATGAGAGCTTTTCCAACCAAACGAAGTCCGTTAACTTGGTTTCCCATTCCATGATGGCTTTTGACACCCGCTATGCTGGGCAGAAGACCAGTCCTGGCATGACAAACGTATTCACCTGTATCTTTCAGCCCTCTAAGAACAGCAGCACTACCCAAGGATCCATTCAGATCGAACTGCATTTCAGGTAGGGGATCCAGACCCTGACTTTGCCTTTCTTTATCAGGACGCCTTTCTTTATCAGGACATTTCCTTCTGTGGACATTGGGCCAAGACCACGTCGGCTTTCGAACATCAAAAGAGCAAGGAATCAGTGAGAAGATAAATAGATAATGGCTTATCAGTGCAGCACACTATATTAGTATTCCTGTAACCATGCAGTTTCATTTATTGGCCAAAAGATGTCTCTGTTGCCTTAAAAACAGTTGTTTAGAATTAAACCAGATTATTAAAATTAACCAGCTGTAGACTGTTTTAATATGTAAAGTGACTTGGGGAAGGAAGAAATTGTGCTTATGTAAGAGGAAAATAAAAGTCTTTTGGTCTATAGAAATAGCAGAAGGGAAAGTGGTTTTGACTTGCATTATTGATTTGTTCATGCAAGTCTTAATGACTGACTTCTCCATGTAAAAAGAGCTTTAGCCTCTTTGAACTAGATTATGTTTTTCTTCCTGGTATTATGGGAGGCAGTGTTGTGTGTAGAAAGAGCCCATGTTTGGGGATCGTATAGAGCTGGGCTCAAACCTCGCTCTACCACTTTCTAGTAATGCATCCAAGGACAAGTTCCTTCATCTCTTTCAGCTGCAGTTTCATCTTCTATGAAACAGGAAAGACTAACTGTGCCCACCTGACCCACCTCATGCATAGGGTGGAGGTAATGCTTAAGATATTCTGGCATATACCGCTTGGCACAGATGGGAGCTGTTGTGATGATTCCTGATGTAGCTTGTGTTATTTGATGGCACACTACTGTAAGATTTTATGACTAGGTGGGCTTAGACTGGAAAACTGAAAAATTAGGTCTGATCGATAGAGATTCAAAAGCAGACCTTTGGAACTGATGTCGGTTTCACTCTCTTAGTGCTTAATGTTATCAGATAAGTTGTAAATATAAACCAGTAAGTAAGAAGGCTGGGAAAAACATCTTGGTTAGGCAAAAAAGGAAAAAAAAAAGTATCAAGATTGTTCTTATATTTGTATGTTTAAATATGTCTGACATTTCAGTGTGCTGTTCAGTGAATTCCTCGGGGTTGAGTTTTTTTTAGGGAGGTGTCGTGGTCTCCGTATGCCTTTAGGAAGTCTAGCAGAGTAGATATTTAAACTTCTGCATGAACTTTAAAAAAGTTCAGTAATAAGAATGCTAGTTGCCTCTTACTGAGCTGCACCATGGGCCAGGCACTTTACCCACCTTTAACTTAATTCTCACAAGTCTGTCCAGTGGGTCACTTCTTCCCTGTTTTACGGGTACTGATATCGAAGCTTGGAGGGGCTTAAATAACTCTTCTAAGGTCACACAGCCGTGAGTAAAGTAGGCAGAACTCAGACTTGGGCCTCTGATTTCAAAGCCCATGTCTTCTCTAACGCTTGTCAGGCCTACCACATTTTAGTGATTGGCCTGACTGTAGTCAGATGATAAGCTGGCTGTGATTTGCAGTTCCTTTGTTTGAAGATGATGTTTATTTGAACAGAGGGCTTGCATGTATCGCTCTTTGGCCCATCTGCAGAAACAGTTTCCTTTTGGGGTTGCTTTGTTGTTGATCTGGCTTCCTAAATATCATCTAGTTGTCCCACTTATCATATTTTTAATGTAGAAGGAGCCTTAAAATATTGATATATTTATATACTGAAGGTGTATAATTTCTTGGAGGCTAATAATAAAGTCCTACACCTTGGCTCTTGCTAACAGAAATACCATTGTTAGTGATAGGGTTAAAATGTTCTCTTGATTGGAACTTTTGAACGCCTTCTGTGTCTCAAGAAGAATTGCTCTTCTGTTGGGAATTTGTGTGTCAAATATAAATCACTTCACAGTGTTTAAAGGCTTGAAATATTTTCCAGAAAAGGGATCAGACACACTTTGACTTTTCCAGTTAGTTCATAGCTCTGACGATCTGTGTTCAAAATGGGGTGGAAAAATTTTACTGGGGGCAACATTTTTTCTCTATTACAAAAGGGTAAAGTGTTTCTGTGAAAAATGCTGTGTCTGTATGAAGGAGACATGCACCATTGTGCCCTTTTTCTAGAGGCAGTGAGCCAGGTTTAGGAGAAATAAGAGCCTAGAGAAGCCAGCCTTGAAAATATCTCCAAATCAGCTTTTCCTGAATAGAAGCCCCTTTTAGGACTGGGAAGCAGGTATGTGAAGCAGAGCCCCAGAAGCGATTTTGGGCTCATAGAACAAAGTTCAACCCAGAAAGCTCTGTAGGGGTGTCCCTAGCCCATCCTTCTTCTATCTTACCCATCTCTGCTGCTGATATACTAACAGGGCCTGGATGAGCCCCTGACCGCACCATGGTTTGAGGCCAGGCCTGAGAGTCCTCCTTGCACTGTAATTCTATATTTCACCCCAAATATAGAATTTGGGGTAATGAGGACAACAAAACTAACACTCTCTCCCCTTCTCCCGCATCTCTACTTCTAGGGCGCTTGGGGTTACACCCACAGCTAATGTCATCTTATTTGTCTACCCTCTTTGGCTAAAAGATATGGGCTTTCAGGCCGGTTCCAGCTAGAAAAACCATTTCATACTAGTATGTAAATTGGATGTTTATAAAGAAGTGATCCTAGACATCAAAGAAAGAGTGCCTCATTGATCTTCTAGAAACAGCCTGTAGGGAAGGGAACTGACATTTTTCGAACCTGTTATGTGCCCGGTGCTTTGTCTCCTACAGTGTTACTATTTCTCATTTTGTAAGTGGGGAAGCAGGCTCAGAGAAGGTAGGTGGCTTACCCAAGATAACACAGCTTATAAGTGACAAGATTTAAGCCTGTGCTCTTCCTACTACACCGGCATTGCTCAGCCTCAGCGCTGGTGACATTGTGGGTTAGAACATTCCATGTTGTGGAGCCTCTCCTGTACGTTGTGGGATGTTTAGTCTCGTCCCTGACTTCTGCCCACCAGATGCCTAGATGCCTGTAGGAACCCCTTCAGTTGTGGCAAAAATGTCTCCAGGGGACAGAATCACCCCTGGTTGGGAACTGCTGGACGACATGCACTCTGTTGCTTTCTTATAGCGTATTCCTTTTTGTTGAAGAATCTGACTGACTTCTGAAAACATACACTGAATATTTTATTAAACCCGGATTCAGAGTTTATTGATACTCAAAGTTCAGTTTAGAAAATGCTGGAGTACCACCTGCCCTAATAGAGTCACATATTTGCAAGTTAATGAAATATCATATTTCTCTTTTCCTATTTTATTTTTATGATCTTCCTTCTTGCAGGTCTACAAAGGATTCCTCCTGTTTCACAGTAGTTCTCAACAATCTCCGTGTGTTTCTCATATTTGATTGGCTGCTGTTAGTGCACGATTTTCTCCACACCCCCAGTGATACTAAGAAGCAAACTAAAGTTACTCCTTCACGCCACCGTAACTCTAGCAGCGAATCTGCTGTAATTCCCAAAACCGTGAAAAGTGGAGTAGTTACCAAGCGGTCTTCCCTTCCTGTGTCTACTGAAAAGCACCTGGAGGTCAAGGTCAATGTAACAGGTAAGTATATGTAGTTGTGAGTCACTGATTCTTAGTTTGGATATTAGGCTCCATCTGTGTCTTACAGGATGACTTTTCTGTTGCCTCTGCATTTTGACACGAGCACTCTTACACATTTGCATCCTTTGCAGACCAACAGGTGTCAAAGTTCCTGACCTCCGTTTTCAGGTGCGATTGCCTGGCCCACACTGAGCTGGCCCACACTGGGCTTCAAGATCTAGTCCCTCTCCTCTGCCGCCCCGATGCATATGCCTGGCCTGAATACCCACCTGGGCAGTGGTCTTTTTTCCCAATGTTAAATCTGGCTTCAATTTTCTCTTTGATCTCTAGGGCCCCAGCAGATGTACCTTACAGAGTTTAAGCAAAGGTGCTATGTGAAAATCTCAGTGTAGAAGACAAATAAGTGAGGGGATTGTTATTTTCTTTACAAAAAGAATATTTTCCTCTACAAACAGATTTACTACAGTTTTTGTTAACTAGTACACTCTTACAGTACATCTGTACATATGTGTGTATTTATTGTTATGTCTGTGATATACCCCGTCTGCTGCTCAGTGGTTTGGAAGAAGCTGGAGAGCACACTGCACTTGAAGGAGATTTAGTTTCAAAAGTTCAATTTATACATGTTTTTTGATGAAAACGAAAAGTAAATTTGCCATGTATAGATGAATAGAAAACTGTCTGTATCTACTAATGAAAAAAAGTCTACGTTAAATTAGTCCACATTCTTTGTGAACAACTTAAACAGCTACATAGATGACCTAGTGCTTTATGCTGCCTAACCAACATTAGTATCTGAATCCACTTCCTGGGATTTTTAAAACAGGTTGTCATTTGGCGAGAGAGCTTCTGAATGTCGCTCTGCCTCCCAGGAGACCTAGCTTAAAACTATATGCTAAAGAGAGAAACTGCATCCCAGTCTTTTCTGCCTGTGCAGTGCTCTGTCAGCTCAGCTGTGGCTGGCCAGATACAGGGAACTTGTTCCGGGTGGGAGTGAAGCAGAGTGTCGGCAGGCATCCTGCAGAACATATCTTTCTGGCCGATGTGTCAGCCCCGCACCCAGTAAATGTGCTACCTGGTTTGCGACAGCCTGCTGCCTTCCACTTCACAGCTTTGGCTTAGTTGACAATGCCGTCCTTTCCAGGCACAGAGTTTGTGGTCGTTGAAGATGTGTCCTGCTTCGATACCAACGCCATTATTCTCAAAGGCACCACAGTGCTCACCTATAAGCCCCGGTTTGTCGATCGGCCCTTTTCAGGAAGTTTGTTTGGCGTTGAGGTAAGAAGTCTGTGTGTTGATTGAAACACTAAATGTTTGGCTCAAGAGAAAAGCATCTGGAGGAGAATTTTACCTCCTAAACTTTCATTTGGGGAAATAATTAATGGGATTGGAGGGCCCTTGTCCTCTTCTCTACATTTTCTCCTCAGATCTACCAGGTTATTCTAATGTGTGAATTCAGTCACCCAGTGTCAGGCTGTGAATGTGTGGAGGGGCTTTTACCTCTTTCTCTCTCGCCCTCCCTTCCTCAGAAAGTTCAAGGAAACTCTTCTAGTCCCCATTACCCCGCCGGGCTCCTTGTCGTGTCCTCTAGTTCTGCAGGTCTAGGCTCTGGTGAATTGTGAAGGTGAGGAAGGGGTCCTTGTTTCTCCTGTATCCCCTTCCCCCACGTTCAGTGCTTGTCCCTCCGAAGACCTAGGGCTTTATGGTCATGGAAACTTGTCTATAAAAGTGTTAAGGACTTTTTGTGTTATCCTTCTGGGAATATCTGATCTATAAAAGGGCACGTCTAGAGAGTCAGGCCTGACCTAAAGGACTGAGTCTCTAACAGAGGTGGTTGTGGCTCTGATCTGATCTCATGAAGGGGCTAATTTGCACTGGGATGGCTTTTGTAGCCAGAAAATTACATTATACAATGTCCAGCAGAAACTGCTCTGCCTCTTTTTCTGTAGTTTTTTTTTTATTTTTTTTGCGGTACGTGGGCCTCTCACTGTTGTGGCTTCTCCCGTTGCGGAGCACAGGCTCCGGACGCGCAGGCTCAGTGGCCATAGCTCACGGGCCCAGCCGCTCCGCGGCATGTGGGATCTTCCCAGACCGGGGCCTGAACCTGTGTCCCCTGCATCGGCAGGCGGGCTCTCAACCACTGCGCCACCAGGGAAGCCCGCTCTGCCTCTTTTTAAGCCAGGATGTGTGGAGACAGAAGGAGAAACGAGGTAGATTATTATCTCTGTCAAATGTTCTTAAGTCACTGATCTCAGCTAACATTCCTCTTGTTAGAATATTAGAATATTTGGTTAGGGATACTCATCATTTCCTTCCCATTTATGACTAAGCTTTTTCATACCCAGTTCTTTCCAGTGGTATTTCAGAGGTTGAACGAACAAAAATTATTTTCACTGTCAGCAGTATATGGAACTTCTTTTTTTTTTTTTTTTTTTTTTTTTGGTCTCAGAAATATAGCTGAATAACCTGTAGAGATTTTATTTCTCTACCACTTGTTTCTCTCATGTAAAGAAACCTCAGTGTGAGAGGAGAGGGATTTGCATGCTGGTGTGATGTGATGTGAGTTGGTCATGAAATTGCGATTCATCTGCTTTCCAAGCCACCACAATACCAGCTTTGAATGGAAAAGTTTAGTGATTAATTAATGAACTGTCAGGTACAGTTGGGTTTTGTGTAGCAGAAGCCCCTGAAGGAAAAAGGAAAATGAAACTTTCCTGCTCCAAAGCCTTAGAAAAACTACATGGCAAAATATTTGAGATTCCTGGAAATTCAGTCTTTCAATCTTGTTCTTTAGGCAGCACAATTGGATCCGAATTTTAAGACCGCCCTAATACATCATTGGGGGAGAACTTATAAAGAAAGCAAAATGAGTTCATCTCGAGTACAGCAGAGGACCTTGGTGGCGCATGTTTTTCAGTAGCACTAGAAAATGCCAAAAAGCGGGGAGGGAGCAAGGGAGACCAAAGCAATGCTTTCTTCTGTCTTCTTGAGCGTGCAACATAATTTGATCCTAGGATGGGAGTCCTCCCTCCCTTTTCTCTCCCCATAAATATGTTTTTTTTTAAATTATAGAACATTTCAAACATACACAAAGTAAACAGAATAATATAATGAACCCCTGTGTACCTTTCACCTAGGTTCAAAAATAAATGTATTTATTTTCAGTTGTGAAAGTAACAACTATATTACATAAAATTAGGGAAGGGGAGGGGAAAAAATCACCTATCCCACCTTACATAATCTCTCTTGACATTTTGATGTGTTTCTTTCCTTATAGTTATGGCGTAATATTATTTTGATTGGGCTGCTTTTTCACATAACCTATATTGTAACTGTCTTCTTATGTTTCATATGGTCTTTTAAACTGTTCCTTTTAAATGGTCACAAAATATTCCACCGAGTAGATGTGATAAAACTTTGGTTGCTCTTAATTTTTTGATTCACTGTTAAATAATGGTTCAGTGAATTTTTCTATGTTTTGCATTATTTCCTCGGGCTAGTTCCTAGTAAGAAGTAGGATTACTGGATCAAAGGGTGTGATGTTTTTAAGCCTCTTGTTACATATCGCTAAACTGCCTTTCCCACGGGCGAGCCACTGCGCTCCTGGCAGTGGGTGAGAGCCTCAGCCTCCCTCTTCACAATGTTCATTTCAGTGGTTGCTCTGGGCTTTTGATATTATAGGGCTGAGTGCTTCTGAGATGGTCCCTTTTCTCCTGACGGTTAGACTCTTCCTGAATCAGACATTAATTCCTGCCATATTGCATTTCACTCTCTAGGTGTTTTCATGCCGACTAGGAAATGAGCAAGACACAGCTCTTTCAATTGTTGATCCAGTACAAATTCAAGTGGAGCTGGTGGGGAATTCTTCTTATCAGAATAGTTCAGGATTGATGGATGCATTCAATAGTGAGGACTTCCCACCTGTCTTAGAGGTAATGATGACAAATCTGTGTAACACACTGAGACGCTCTCAAACACTTTCCTTTGCTTGAACTGCTTACTTAACTCTGCCAAACTCAGCAACATTTTGGTTACTTCAGCAAATACAAAATAAATATGACAGTGTCTCTGCCCTAGAAGATCTTTCAGTCTTGTGGAGGATAAAAGACCTTTTAATTGTCTGGTGTGATCTTGAAGTTCTATAAAGCTTTACAGAAAGCAGAGTTAGGAATATTGACTGTGAGTGAAGCTAAAAGTGAGTCTGATCAGAGGGGTAGGATGTAAATAGGCCGAGAAGGAGAGCATTCCAAATTAGGAAGCAGCAGAGTCAGGGGCAGAAATGGCCCAGCAGACCTGAGGCCGAGGGAGGTCTCACTAGAAGACAGACGTCTACAGGGCAGTGAGGAGGAGAGGGGAGGGGAAGCAGAGCAGGTGAAGCCAGGCAAGCGCGGCTTAAGACTGATGTTTTATTTCTTCGGTAGCGGGGGCGTAATTAATTAGTAATCCATTTGAACCGTAGGAGGATTGAAAGAGAGAGAAAAGCCATTCTGATTTTAGGGCTTCAGAAATCATGAAAAATAAGTAAGAAATAAAGCACTGTACCCAGACTTCAAACAGCCATCACATTTCAAAGTGGTCTTGTGTTGGTGTCTGTACTGCTTTTACCAGTGGTAGCTGAGTTGCTGTTGTCTGAGGAAGACCAGATTTTCAGAAATATTAATGTGGAACATGACTCATTTAAAGTTCTGTTTGAATAAAGGAGAGATAAATTTTGTTGGGTGGTCAGAGATTTTAAAAAATTAAGTAGATCGAAGCAAAATGGATTCACAGAGTGTTGCTAATAGGTGATCCTGTCTCCACCAGAGCCATTCTCCGATTCTCTGCTTTGATGATTAATGTGCTTGTATGAAGATCATTCTACTGAAGTATTAAGTGCTCTAGTAATTTTCCTTGCTTAGTATTTGGTACAGTTTTGTGACATTTGACCTCACAGCTGAGACGTTTTACCTCATGGCTATTAATGCTTAATTTCAAGATCTCCCCTGTCTTCACAATGAGAAATGTCTGTTGGATTTCTAGAACTTGAATTAGAGTGATACCTGTAAAGAGGTGTGGACACAAAAGCAAGTGCAACTTTAAAAACTGCCACCTTTTAAATTTTGTTAGATTCAGTTACAGGCCCTGGATATCAGACTCTCCTATAATGATGTTCAGCTGTTTCTGGCCATTGCAAAATCCATCCCAGAGCAAGCTCATGCTGCAGTACCAGACACAGGGGCCTTGGACGCTGACTCCTTCAGCAGTTACCTTCCTGGTGCATCTCAAAGGGGAGAGGAAATCAGAGAAGGGACAAGACACACCTTAGACCCTGTCTTGGGTACGTATTAACCATAAAACCCACTCAGTCTTCCCAAAACTCCCCTTCTTTTTAACTTTTCAGATTTTCTTTTGCACAGTTAAATTGTTCAGGGTATAATTGTGTCATTAAGTATAATTGTAGGTCATAAGTATGACTGTCTAATTTTTTTTTAATTTAAAAATAAACAGCCCAAACCAACTGTTCTAGCCTACAGTATTTTTCCTTTTACAGTTTCTTCCAGACATAATGGACAATGCTAAGGTTTAGTTTTAAACTTCAAGTTTTCCTCCCAAGTTATATGGATAATAATACTAAGTTTCAGTTGTAAGCATTTAAAAGACAGCCAATGTAGGGAA